TGATCTGCAAATAGTGTTTAAATTTCTCGATCTTAGGTGAGATAACTTTCGATTCTTAAGAAATATATCTATTTTACATATATACACAATGTTCCTGTTATGTCCTGTGGCCTGAGATACATGAAAAGAATTGTATCGAGAATATAAACAACAAAACGGGATCCATTACTGATGTTTGATTCCCTAAATATTCTTTGAGGGAAAAACACATGTCACATAATTAACATTTCTAGCCGCTTTTTTCCCGCTTAAAATATGAATTCACATTCTCGACCACTGAGTTAAGCCACCCACATTCTCAGACAACTTACTGGATATAAATATGGACTAATGTAAACATATGCTTAAATATTATACATCTAAATGCTATTTCCAACAAGGTAGAGAGGCATTTAATGACTACAGGATCACCATGGTGACTCTTCTAGGCTTTTCTTTCTGTACCTAATTCCTCGTGGGTCCTGTTCACACAGATGCATGACAGGAATTCCCCTGTGCTTCTGACTGAATCAGCCCATAGCTAAGCTGATGCCATCTGGCACCCAGATATCACTGCTGCCTTCTGCCTGCTTGCCTTCTTTCGTTTTGAAATGGCTCACGCCAAGGTTATTTCTGGCAATATGTTTGAGGCCTGGGTGTTGAATGTTTTCTAACCCTGTAGTAAAGCTGTTAACTGAAAATTGAGTAAGAAAACTCACGATTTCTTAAGTACAACACTGGGCAAGTCAATCCTACCTTTGAGAGGACAGCACCACTAAGGCTCTCCACCTACGGGCCAGGGTTTGCGGGAGGGCTGGCTGTGCTGATCACGTAGTGCCCAAAGGAATCACCTGTTGCTTGTTCTGAGCCATCCAAGCAGAACTCCCAGCAACTGAAATTAATCTGGGAGGAACCTCACTACCCTAGGTGCCCACTTAGGCAGTCCTCCCTTCCTCTCCTTGGGATGACTTCATGGGGAGAGCAGGAAGCCTGGAAAGAGAAAGGCAGAGCACCCGGAGCATCCAGGCCATACCTTTCCTTACACCTGCCTCCTTGACAGATTACACCGTCTAGGACATTGAGTGGCCTTTTAGTGGCCTGGGGAATTAAGGAAATGAAGAATTTCCTTCTTAGTTAGATCAAGCTTTTTAAAAAGGCCAGTTCATTAACTTCCTGTACAGCACTAGTAGATGAGCTATGTCTTTTCATTACCTAGAGGTCACCACAGTATTATTTTTGCTCAAGAAATTAAGCTGTTTAAGCGTTCATCATGTTCACTCGGCTTGAGGTGGTGGTGATATTTATGCTTACATCTCAACAAAGACTGAAAGTAAGGTTAAAGTAGGGAGATTGGAACTCAAGTCGATAATTTCCTTAACTTCTACTAGGTTCATAAATATAATTCTTCTACCACATTGTAGTTCTGACCCCTCACCAAATAAAAGTACAATTTTGAGAGTTTACAAAAGTACCTAGAAAGCAAATCCCATCTATTTGTCAGTGGAAGCCATCAGCTGGGCTCAATCTGGCATTTACAGGACAAGTTCTAAACTTAACAATACTCTCATCAAGCTGGACACAAATTCAGAAAGACAGAGTTCAAATAATAGTGGAGAATTCCATTAGGCATTTTCCATCTCCCTCTTTCTAGTGCCAGAATGGCATGCTCTTTCCTTCAGAAAAATGCAGCTCTCCCAGAATCTGAATATTTTTGGAAATCCCAGAATTCTTTCTGTGTGAATCAGGTAGCAGGGATTTCCACGAATTCCTCAGCTGAAATCCTCGGAAGCAAGTTCACTTTGTTTATTTATAAGATGGTCTGTGCTTGATCAACTTCATTGGCTAAAGCCCCACATTGCTCAGGCTTGGTTTGGGGTTAGATCTTGTTCACACTGTCCTGCTCAGTGGAGAGAGACAAAACTACCGTGCCTAAACATTCTTGCTGATGACTGTCAGGCAAACTTGATAAAAACATGTGCCTGAATCAAGACAAACCATGGCCGCCAGTGAAAAATCAGTTTAGAGGATCTGACTCCCACAAGTCGGTTATGAAATCAATTTTTATATCAAGAAAATGTATCCACTATGTTCCTGCCTTGGTACCATATAAATCAAGTACAGCATAAAAAAACCAGCCTATTGCTGAGGAAGAAGCAATTAATGTCTAAAAGAATTTCTGAATGAAGCTGCAGCTTTATAACAGGGATCTCAATATATAAGTCCATTACCATAATGTGACTCAATCCCAATACTCGCTTCAGCCACTCTATGAGACCGACATCTGTATTTGTGTCTTCTGTATGGCATTTAGTTTAGTGAAAGAGCACTACCGGTACAAACTTCTGTTCTAGAAAGTTTTAGTTATTTTTTGGACAGATCATATCTTACAGTGGTTGCTTTCCAACATATTTTTGGCAAGAGTGCTAACCAATTATTTTTTTCATTTGGGGGTTACCAAAAATATCTAATATTCAATAATAGTATCTCCATATACTAAAGATTTTCAGCTACTGATTTCCCTACATTATTTAATGAGACAGGCTAGTGATATTGGTTTTATTTTAAATAAGGGGAAATAAATGATATTTGCTGTTTTACTACAGAACGCTCCATGTTAGCTGGAGCCAAAGTGAGAGATAATAGTTCTGGGCCACTGTTCCTGTTTCTCCATAGCAGCAGTGACAGCCACAGCGTCTAAACATTACTGTTTAATTTAAGCAACGTGAGTCTCTTTGGTAGGGGGAGGAAAGACTTGCTGACAGTATGTCATTTTTTCATTATACTATGGAGACTAATTATAGGTTGCTACATACATTTAGAAACTAGTCTATGTGGTTTTAAAAAAGAAATAATTAAGCCCATACAAAATTATGTTTTTTAAATTCAAAATCAATAAAAAATATAATGTGACACGTAGGACCTTTCCTAGGGTTCAGTGCACTGAACATGTAAAGTGTATTACAATGTGGAAACCATATACCTTTCACGACATTATCCTAAAGCTGTCACTTATTTCATTTTGGTATAAAAGTAATTGTTCTGAGCATAATAGCCTACATTTCCTTTACCTGGCACCAGCTCTCCAATTACAATCTACTTCAGTTCAGATGAATCATGCCAAGATGGCAATTCCATTACACCAAGAGTAAAATTTAATAATCTAATATATGACTATAGTTCCAGTGGCTAAAAGTATGTGTTTAACTACTTTAGGAGTTTTATTAAGATTAAAGTTAAACATAATGCACCTTAAACAGACCTTCGGTGGAAAACACTCATTACAAACTATGGCTGACCACGGTCTGGGTAATGTTCCTGCAGAAGCATTAAACTCCCTTACAGCTTTCATTCGAGAGGTATCTAGTAATGAGAAAGATGTTTAATCATTGATGCAAGATGTTGGGATTTAATTTTAACTTTGTTGAACTATTTAACACTGGCCATAATGCAATATTCCATTTAGGGTTATGCTTCAGACCAAATGCAAAATAGAGCGCATGCAAGAGCAAATTTATTTAGGTAAAATAATATGAATCTAGCTTTAAACATATTTAACCAAAGAATACATATAGGGAGTAACTGGCTCCAATTACATGGCACCTTTCTGTGTCTCAGCCTTAGTGGATTAAAGACTTAATAATGAACTGTTCGCCCCCTCTTCAGCAGCAAGAAGGCCTGTCAGGCCGGGTACCAGCAGGAGAGAAAGAAAACGTTTTAAGCCTTCACATATTCACGTAAACGTGGCACTGCGATCTTGGACCACAGCCTTTCCTTCAAAGCTCTGCAATGGTTAGTTGTTTTTTCTTAAAGCCTTTTCTCATAGAAGTAGAACAAAGTGCTGTGGTAACTTTACAGTACAGAAATAATCTCTGTTTGGCTTCCTGTCCTTTTAAGAGGGAAACGTGTTACCCAATGCACGAACCTGAAAACCATTTCGTTACAAACAGGCTTTGGTCACTGTACCAGTCTGTATTTTGGATTTCTTTTGCAATCTCTTGCTGGTTAGGGTGTGTCTCGGGAGCGCAATTTGTGTTCTGGCAAGCCATATAAGATTTAGATTCAAATAGGATGAATCAGAGAAAATTCTAAACTGCTTTTGAATATATGGATTGCAATGTTAATTTCTATCTCTAGTAAAATTTAAATATGGGTTGAATTTGCAAACCGTTGTATAGCCTACGTGCTATGCTGTGAGCTCCTGGGGGGGTGGGTAACAGGTCTTATGCACCAATGCACAGCACAGAGCCTAGTATTTAAATAAATTAATCTAGAAAATCTGAGAAATTGCTTTGCTTATAAATAAAATTCATCAATAAAGCGCTTTCCCTTGTTTTAAAAAATAACACAGCAGAGATTCCTATCAGTGTTTTCTACTAGAATCAATATACAGTTATTGATCAGTCAATTCATTTAAAGCTGTTTCTTCCTTGTTTGTTCTTGTGAAGCATCTGGAAAACCTGTGCCTAGCGGTCTTACAAATTCCATGGCCTTGACAAAACTGAGCAGGAATGAGACCATGATCAAGAGAGGCAAAGACCTGGGACCCATCTGATACCATTGCCAGTGGGGAAGGGAAAAGAAAAGCTAATAAGCTTCCTTTGCCCTCAGACACCCTTCACTCACCCTTTTATTTCTGTGAGTGGCTCTGTGGCAAAGCTGAGAGAGAAGGGGTGAGAGCTCCCCAGACTTTTACATCGAATCTACATCATCATCAGATGCAGCCTGAGCCTTCTCTCCTTGGGCCTCTTGGAAAAGGGGGAGTGAGATTCTGGAGAATAGAGCAGGCACTACCCCTTCGTTTTCTTACTTCAAAATGGAAAAGTATGTAGAGAGGAGTCATGTACTGAGAAGCACATTGAAATGGATAAATCTCCAAGCTGACAGCCCCGAAGCCTCATTTCACGCTTGGAAAGAGGACCGCGCTTAGTTTAGAACCATGGAAGCCACAACCAGGGAGACGGTGCTTTTTTTTTAAACCGATAGGCCTCAGAAGCAAAACAACTTGTGGTTTTCAAACTTACGAGGGCTCTTCCGATACAGCGGCTCCTTCTTCTAGCTCTTGAGCTTGTTTGTACCACGGCGCCCTGGCCTCTACTGGAAGTTTCTCTGGGAATTAAAATCATGCACAGGAGAGAGAGGGAGTTAGAGCCAATTTGGGATGTCAGGGAAATTCCATCTCCCCCCTCACCAGTTCTTCCTTTTGCACTACCTACAAGCTATGTTGGTAACTGCAAATAAGAAAGTCTTAAGGTAAATTTCTGTCTCTGATGACTGTTATATCAAGAGAAAAAAAAATGAGATTTTAACATGTTTAATAATACTGGTCTCTGTGTATATATTTCCCCTTTATTATGTGGAAGAGCAAAAAAAAAGTCTTTTTATTATGAAAGTCATAACTCTAGGAGCACTAGCTCAATATGTCATCGAAGTATCTTTTCACTACTTCCTGTTGAAAAGATAGAGCAATATTTGCCTTTTAAAACAAAGTACAGTAAATTATACTGTGTTACTTTCATAAATTCTAACTTGTTTTTCTTTTGCCTTTTGGCTGAATGTGATCGATGCCGTATTGTCAAAAACAAATAGAACTGTCACGCTGATATTTACAAAACATTGCTTTAGATATCTGACTCATTCAACACACCACCCCAAGGCTCACTGACAACTGGAATATAAGCAACTGAAGGTCAATAACCAATAATTTGACTTGTTTCACCCATTTATATAGCTTTGGCCAAACAGTTCAGAGCAAGCTTCCTAACTATTTCCTGGAAAAAAAACTGTGGAGGAGAAAAAGAAAGAGGGAGATTAAAACTGCTCCTACAGAAGTAACTGCCAAGATTTCCATTCTGACATATTTTATTAGGGTCATTTATAGGCATATTTGCTTTATAGTATAAGCCAGTGAAGCTCTATCACCATTTTATAACATAAAATTGCAAAGATCAAAGAAATGTCTATATATGCATACACCATAGAATTATATGGCATTTTAATGATGCTTAAGTAGAGCCAGACTCGCTACTTAGTTGTGAAAATCCAGATTTTATTTTTGATAGTTAACCACAAACTGCTTTTCTTTTTCTGAAGTGGTTTGGTAAAGACAGACTAATGAATAATTGCCTATTTTAAGTTAGGGGCATCGCTTCTTGTCATCTATGTGAAGCAATTGTTTATAGTCAGAAAACAAAGTGAGTGAGAAATATAAAACTGCCAAAGCCAAAAAGATTGGCTAACATTTTAGATACAGCAATCCAGTACCTATATACAGTAAAACCTCAATATAATGGATTAATTCGGGCGAGGGGTGTCCGTTAAAGCTGAAAGTCTCTTATATAATGAAGTAAATTTTCCCAATGTGTATGTTAAAAAATTGACAAATTAGTTTACCTGTTTTTACTTATGTAGATATGTTTGTGTAATTAAAATTAAGTATGGATGAAAAGTTTAATTTCACAGAAAATTTTCTATACGTATTACAGTAATTTTGAATAGGTCTAGTAAATGTGTGCATTCCCCAGTCATCAAGAAAAAACAAATGCACATGGCTGGGGAGTGGCTTAGCGCACGTGGGAACATCAGTGGCAGGCATTAAAGCTGCTGCAAAAGTCATGCCACTAGACAACAGAACCAATTACCGCACAGCATGTGGCGTGATCACGTGCTAATCATTCGCAGAACATTGTTTACGAGCGGTGACTCTTGGACTTAAATACGTAGGCCACAGTTGTAGATATGTAATATTTATTTATGTCAGCAAAATTACTACAGTGTTTTATGCCAACATATGACCTATTCACTAAAATTTGTTAAAAATAACAGTGAGTTAATAACAAAAAACCTGTTCATTTAATTGTAAGCAAATCTTGATTGAAAGCATTTAAAAATTAATAGGGTGTTAATTTTCACATATGACATATGAACCTGAAATTTTGTCCATGAAATCCGAAGTTTGTGCAATCGAGGTCCACAAAATCTAGGGTTTACCATACGTCGTTTTACAACTAGCTCACCTCTCCCAAATAACTGACTCAATGATGCCATCTCTGACAGCACAAGCCATCTCCGTCTTTCAATAATGAAGCCTTCAGCTTGGCACTAATAGTAGGCTTATAATACTTTACTGCCTATTTGAACTGAACCTGTCAGATGTACCAGTGGCCACTTCCTCCCATATTTGAGGATGCTAATGATAGTCAAGATAACATTTGTCGAAAACTTACTACCTGCTAGGCAGTGGGCTAAGCACTCGGCTTGCACTTTATCTCATTTAACCTTCACATGATCTCTGAGGGAGTTACTATTATTATTTCCATTTCACAGATGAGGAAACTGAGGCTTAAAGAGAGATGTAATAAATTAAAATTAATTAGAATTTTTGGTATGCTTTTGTTTTTGTTTTTCTTTTATGTCATTAATTTAGATTTCACAATGCTATTCACGCCTACCATGGGCAAACTATAGTGTGATAAAGAGCTATACTGTGGCTGGTTTTCAGAGAAATTTAATGGCTCAAGAAAATAAATTAAGAAGAAAATGGGAATCTTCTTTAATATTAAAAATAGGAGGAAGCTTGTAATAAAAAATTCTTTACTTTTGAATGTTTTTTGACTTTGGAATTTTCTATTGCATTGACATAGGCTCTACCAATATTAGCAGAGAAGTCAGACTAATATTCATGTTAATCTGAGAGACCCAGCATGATTATAATAAATCTTGCTCACTAAGGAGAACTTTTCTAAAGTTTACTTCTAAAAATTATTTGCATTATCTATTAAATTCTAATTTATTTCAATGTTTCATTTCAAATTATACTTCTGGAATCCAGTACCATAACAATTTAAAATTTTTAATATAAAAAGCAACAGCTTTCTGTTTCATCTGTCTGAGGAATGAAACTTCCCAATGTATTTCCTACTTAGCAAAGTAGACACTTTGAATTCACTGCATTGTTTTTAAGAACAAGAAATGTGGCCAGTAAATCACACATATTTCTACAATATCTCTATAATATCTCCTTTTACGCAGATATATCTGATATTTCTCAGCACTATCTTCAAATAACTTTATGACTCAGGAGAGCATTATATAAATATGTAGTCCCTTATAACAATTTGCAAACCAAACTGTTTGAAAGATTAAAAATAAAGTTAAGTCCATTTAGTAGAGTCTACGTTACAAAGCATAGTTACTAAGAAACATGGGATACTTAAAAATTTTCTAAGGAGTTTAAAACAGCACCCGAGTACACATAATCAAAAGCCTGATGACAGAGCACCTGCCAAGTTACCTTTGGGTTTGTAGCAGGGCGTGGGTATGATGCATTCCTCTTTTATGTGGGGCTTGGTTTTGGAGCTACAGCCTCCCGTGTGCATTCCTCGGTGGTTGATGCAGAGAACCACCCGATACCGGAGGCCCTGGCCACACGTCACCGTGCACTAGAAGGAGAATACAAGACAGGAGACTCACAGGCAAAGCTTTGTTCACTCTTTGTCTCCCACCTGAGACTTTTTAAAGGGCTACTTGTGTGTATAAGGACCCTCGATGAGTTAGGCCATCTCTTACCCACCATGGGGTCTTCCTTCTATTTGGCCACTTAGGGTGCAGCTGGCTGAAAATTGAATTACTTTCAATTTCCCAGCTTCGAATTATTCAATCAGCATCCCTTCGGCACCCACTGTGTGCAAAGTCCCAAACCAAGACGCCAAGAGGGGAAAAGAGCCTGGAGAGTGCGCTCACTGTTGATGACCACCGCGGCATTTTAATATTACTTAGTCCCCTTGCTAAGGATTGGTAGGTTCAAACTATGGGACATGCTAGCTCCCACACAGACATAAAAAGGTTTTTCAACTGTCATCATAGCTAATTTATAGGGCAGCGTGGCTGATCCAATTGATAATGCTGACGTGGAAAAAAAGCATTTAAAGGAACTGATTCAATGGCCAGATGTAGACAGCACCTCGGCTGCTCTATCCAGGAGCAAGTCCAGATAAAGAGAAATGCCCCAGCTCCGATCTGCTGCCACGAAGTGAAAAGTCTTTTGCCATCTCTGTGGCTGAGCGCACAACGGTTTATCCCCTCGGCTTTCTAGCTCCTTTGCTATTTCAGACCTTTCTGCATGGGCAGCCAGGAAACCCACAATCAAAATCGTTGTGTGGTTAAGGTGCTGCAGCGGCTTCCCTAACATCTAGAACGTATTCGTTCTGGTTATTCTACTTCACCCCATTCTAATTATATTGTGATTTTCATTGCCTCTTTTCCCCCCAATGAATAACATACATAGCTTTAATGTTTACCCACCTCAGACCCCTTTTGGATAGAGAGAAAGGATAAGACATTAAAAAACGAAACTAAACTTTTGGGCTGCTGAGCTCTTTCATAGATTCAGGCTTAGTCATGGGCCTCAGTTACTCTTGACAGACATGTGCCTCCCCTGGTCCTTGGCAGACACGGAGGCGGCGGAGGCTTCCTGAGGGAACTTGAGGCAGACAGGGGTACAGGATGACTCAGGGTTGGGCTCGGCTGGCTTAGGGACATGCCTGCGCCAGGAGCTAAACTCTAGACTTGCAGACGCCTCAAGGGGAGAAGCAGGGAAGAGTGGACTGATTTTCTTAAGGAACAAAGAAAGAAGGCACAGTTACCGGAGACCACTCCTGTGCCAGCCATTTAGGGCAGTCAAAAATGTTGCAGGGCTGCACGATGGGCATCTTAGGGGTGTACATGCATTTCCACTCTTCCACTGAGGTGACATGCCCCTGGATGTCCTCCTCGACACAGGAAACTGCCCGGCTCTGGATGCCCCCCCCACACGAGGAGGAGCACGCGGTCCACGGGGTGGCCTCCCACCTACAGAAGCAAGGGGAGTTATCAGGGCAGACATGCACATCGCCGAACCTCAGTGACCTCTCCGAGCCAACCCCGTTCCCATGCCTATGGGGCCATCGGTTTTGAGAGGCTATGGGCCAGACAGCTAAAAGCCATCTGTCGCCTGAGATCTGATGAGAAAGAGAGAAGGAGCCAATGTTGGCAAAAGTGCCCTGTAAACCTTGAAGCTCCACACAACTGTACGAAATTACTGTTGGAGAGCTGTCCATGAAGATATCTGTGCTGTCTGTAACTTACTCAAAGGAGGGCTGTTCAGTCCTTCTGCTAGTTTTAATATACATGCTTTGTGTGTATATTGTGTTTTATAAATATATATTCTGAATATATAATATTTTATTAAACCATTAAATATTTATGTCAAGACTGAAGTTGGTCAATCAGCTAACACTAATAGTTTGCATCGGGGCTGATGTTTTTTATTTTCAATGCAATACTTTATTACTTAGCTTCTGGACTCTTTTACACGAGAAGCTCATGGAAGGTCAAGGTAAACCACACTCCTTTTTTCCCTTGCTTCCATAGTCTTCAGCTTTGGGACTCCATGGATTCAGCACGATTCTGAAGTCCAAACTGTGCCACCATTACACTAAGGGGCAAGTGTGTTAATCCAGGCATTAGCTACTTGTTCCCTAGCGATGAGGGATACTAGCAGGTAGTGTTTCCCCAGTAAAGAACTCCCGGAACTATGAAGAACTTTGGTTTTGGTTGGAAGGTTAATGGCATTGGAATCTAGAAATACACTTAAGTAAGGGAGAAAATAACAATATTATCAATAACATTTAAGAGAATCCCATTGATTGTTTAGATCTCTACATAGCTTGGAAGCATTTGGGAGCAGATGCAGAGAGGCATCTTTGCCTGATTCTTTTCTCTCTGCCTATAGATTTAGAGAGTGTAGAATTTAAAAAAATAGAAACATTGGAACTGAGCTTGTCTTTCTTGCATATATTCTGCTTGTTAATGAGGATCACTGAGGAACTTTAAGATTTCTCTTAGAATTAGGAAGACATATCATTTTAATGAGAGTGACACAAAGCATCACCAAGTTGATCCACTTGGACAGTTACATTTAAAAATAATGCACAGGTGGCCCTGGCTGGTGTGGCTGAGTTGGTTGGAGCATCGTCCCGTGCACCAAAGGGACACAGGTTCAATTCCCGATCAGGGCACATCCCTAGGTTTTGGGCTTGAACTGGAGGCAGTCAATCAATGTTTTGCTCTCACATCGATGTTTTCTCTCTCTCTCTCTCCCTCTCCCTTCCTCTCTCTCTAAAAATCAGTTAAAAATTCTTTAAAAAATAAATTAAAAAATAAAAATATTGCACAGGTATATCGTGGAGACAGTAATTATTCTCTAAGTAGGATTTCATGTACAGTGTGATTCTGACTTCTCTTGTGCATGAGACTGTACAATGTGTGTTTCACAGTTAGAGAATTTTCCTCCACATTTTCTTTGTGCTGCTCAAATCTAGGCAACAACTATTATCTCCACTGCCAATAGCCTAAACTTGTTGCCAAATACAATATTTTCCTATGAATATTTCCCCAGGAGACTCAAAAGAAAATGTTATTATGGGGAAACTGAGGACCTCTGTTTAGCCCTTAGGAAATTTTATGACCCCTTCCAAGAGCACGAAGCAGCCCTGTAGAGTGTTTCTCTTCTAGAAGGTAAGACCAATTCTCATTTGTCTCCACAACTCTCTGGAGAGCTTCCCTCTGGAGGTGGAAAACAGGTCTGATTCAGACGGGAACTGGGCTGAATATATAAGTACACGTTCGCCTTGGATTTGACCTGACAGTGAAGGGGGAATATGTTTTTGAATGTACTTTAATCTCTTGGAACATTAAGATGCCATAAAAGGAGCACATGTTTTAATTGGTACTTTAACATCCCTAAACTTGACCCTTCTAAAGAGAGTGATTAATTTCTGTCTCAACACTTGGGCCTGACTCAGAGCGTAATTTCATGAACAGTAATAAGGATCCTTTTTCCATGTCAGTGATCACAGAAAGACAAATGATGCTAATATTATTCTAAGAATTTGTAGTATGGCTACAGCATACAACTATATTTCTCTATGTGAAAATTACCATATGAATCCTTGCATAACAATAGTGTTATGAGGAATCTCAAAACAAAACATGTCTGGGTGCTTTAAAGGACATATAATAAAAAAAGGTGAGAGAGGGCATCAGTTAGGATATCTTTATACAGGGACCAGGTACGTGCTTGGATAAAAAAAAAAAAAAAAGGCAAGCATGTCCAAGAATCTTTTCCTGGAAAAATAAGAAATGAGTTCGTATATCATATATTTTAACTCCTTTGGCTTTTAATTTTTAAACACACAGTGTGTTTAGTTTAAGAAATTTTCAAAATTAAGAATGATGTGAAAAAGTTGCATGTATTAATTATGAATTAAAGATAATTTATCAGATTACATTCTTATATATTCATAAGTGTTACAGTCAAAACCGAAAGAAAAAAATCTAAATATTCATTAATTGTGTTTTGTATCTACACTGTGGTCTTAAGCTCATTCAAATCATTTCAATAAGGCCTTCTGTTTTGATCAGCAGGTAGCTGCCATCTGAGAATCATTTTTGAGCCTCAGTTCTTCTTATGAAATGAAAACATATTTGTTGAAGTAGTGTCCATTTACTAAGATGTTATAAATAAAGCAGAATATCTAACTTTAGAATTAGTTCAGTAACAGAAGTGCAAGGAGTAAGAAATATAGTCCATTTACTAACTGTCCTTTCCCACTGTGATGCATGGACAGGCCAATGTGTGCACAGGACAGGTGCAAACGAACATTGAGGAGGCTCATCTCAATCTGTTACTGAGAATACTGGCTTCAGGCATTTGGCGGAAAGCCAGATAGAGAAGAAATCAAGTTTAACCTATGACAGGTATTAGTCATACCAGAAAAATATAAGCAAAAGAGATCCTAGATATTGAAGAAATTTAGGAGTGCCATTGCAGGAAAAGCATAAACTTGATGTTGCTCCCCCTGACACCCAACTTTGCCTTTGTCTTAAAATATACAGACTTCACACAAGCAGATACATGTGTCTTATGGATACTTATTTTATAGATACAGATATTGAAATCAAATAAAGTTTTGGCTCAGTTAAATTAATCTTTTAATATTTTCATTCTATTATTTTTTCAAGAAGAAGAGTTTGCTATATAATTTGGTTCTGAAACAAACCAGCAAAATGATACATCAGTAGCATTCTAGCTATTTATCATCTTTATCAATATAGTCATAGGAAAGTGGGAAAGAGCTGACTGCTAAGTGGAAGGACTTAAAAACGAACAAACAAACAAATATATAGAGTATAAGGCCCTCCTCTACATGCCACCATTAGATTGGTGAAAACTGAGTTCCCTGTCAATCACTGAAAGTATTTAAGCGGAGACTGGATGACAGCTTGCACTGGTGTACACATATTATACAAATATCTCTATGTGTGTATACATGTGTGAATACATATGCACTACATAAGCATATATGCATATTTGTGTAAACATATGTCTATATATATGTATAGGTGTGATTTTGGGGGAAGGAAGGGGAGAATGAAGCATCATTGGGGAGCTGGACCAGAGGAGCTCAAATGCCTCTATTTGGATTCTAACTCATTAAGTATTTGGAGATTTTTCAATCAAACTTCACTTTATTTTATAGTTCAGAATAAAATTATTTTCTGGGCTTTGTTTAGTTTGAGACTGAGCAGACTACTGTGGATTATTTTCAACTACTGTGTTTTCAATCTGGTTCAAAACCTGGGTTATAAATACCTGACTCCCTGAAGTCCTACCAAGCCCAGAGAACGGAGCACAGGTCTCTCTGAGCACAGCGGCTCTTTCAGACCCAATCCTAGCTTCCGCTATCTGGGGAGCTGTTTCCAGCGTGGCTGACAATACACTCAGTAGCTAGCATATTTTTCAGCTTCTCCTGTTTTCTTATAAATACATTAATAAAGAGAACAAGTTTTTTTAAAAAAAAACTTTTATTATATGTACTAGTCTTAAAGAGTTACTGTACTTTAAAAAAAAAAGCAACAAGTGCATGGAATTTTAAAATGTTTTGGAAAAGAAAGTCCTCACGAATGTTCTGAACCATAAAGATATAAAACAACAACTGCCCTTTGTACTTAATTATGTCTTTGGAACAAAGGAGGACATCTAAAGCCCCTATTCAGAGTAGTAGCACATCTGGAGCTCCACATTTATGGTATCGAGATAATACTCAGGCAGTGTTTACTTAGCAGTTAGCAACAGGGCTTTAGTGAGTAGGGTCCTGCTGCAGAGGAAACACAGGGAAGGACAAAAAGAGTGAAAGAAAGACATAACATAAGCCCACCTACTGTATCTAGTCAGAGTGAATTACTGCGGCCACTCTGATTAACATGAGCCTAGCTTAAAGTGGTTTTTGAATGACAAGCTTCCAGTCTGAGCAGGCCAGTATTATTCCAGAGCCGAGCTCAGGATGGCTTGCGAAACATACTATCTACCATCTTATTTTTACAGAAAAACACAAAATCTCTATGCACATACAAAAGAAGCAGAAGACTGATTGACTAGTTCTAGCATCAGGATGATTGATTTACGTACCGAGGAAGGGGATGGTAGAGGTCATAAGGCATGATCTGCTTGTATCCGCCACTGTTAGGAACAATAATGCCAACCCTCTGAGTAGAAGGTACACACAATAAAATAAACACTAAATAATTACATTATACACATTTTTTTAGACAAATGCAAAACAACATTAATCAATTGTCTCTGAAAACAACACGAAAACAGTTCAATATCTTTATGCTAGCATATGGTTTAAGATGGGGCAAGTTCTTCGGAAGGGCACCGTTGACTATAATTAGTTCTCTGATCCAAGCAGGAAACACCATTGGAAAGGGTGGTGGGAAGAAAACTTGGCACCTCATTATTAACTATGACACAATAAACTTGTAAATGTTCTTTAATCCCCTAAATTATACATCCTATGAGGTCATTATTATCATCATTATTAATGTTACTTCCAGATGCTCACCAAGCAATTATAGTTACTATATCACTTTGGATGAAAGGGAAAGCTATCTATAAGAGTATGTACCTGGGGATTGACAATGCTATATAATGTGCTAAATAACCTAGCAAATACATTTCTTCTCTTGGCAGATCTAAGGATTTTAGTAATGTCTGGAAAGCAGCCACTTGGTTACTTTATAAAGGGAAGGGGAACTGGTGAATATAGCAGTCAACTATCAACAAAAGCAAGACGCCTACCAAAATAAAGGCAGGACAGTTAAAATGAGATACTAAAGTACAAAAGATCTTTTCTGTGGTATATAAAATGTGATACAGTGTTAACTGCTGTTATAGTGGTGGCTGTGATTGTCCTGACTGTTGTTAGTATACCTGTGTGATTTAGATACAGAGACTAAAGAAGGTGTAAGAAATGACATGATAGTCTGTATGGCTAATGGATTCACAAAAAATGATATTATAGGCTGTGTGGAAGGCCCCAGAGGCCTTCAGGACTCCAAGAAGCTACATTAACCTACCTCGCTGAATTCAACTAGAGCCTCCAATGGCAAGCCTTTCTTATCCCTAAATCTCTTGGCTTGTGGAAAACTTATGACTCATGGGTCTTAGATAAAAAGGACAGTACAACCAACCCATCAAGAGCGGGAGACAGAGCTCAATACACAGACGTCACCCTGGGGCGGAGCCTGGTAGGACATGAGCAGCAGGCGCTTGCTTTGCAAATGACAAATGACAGGAAGTCCCTCTTTTGAATCCTGAGGGAACTCATGTATTCTATGTGTATTCCTGGATGGATGAGTATATATTTATATATCTATATTCAATATAAATGTTTATATCTATATTAAATAAATAAAGACTTTTTATCCCATCCTCTGATATGGAATGATATAGTAATTTTTTTCTTTAATATATGGCTTGCACACCTAAGCTTCTGGGTAGAAAAAGTGAACTAGTTATACTATGGATCAGAAAGATAAAAAAATAGTGCTAAATGGCAATCATGAGAAAATGGAGATCATAGGGAGCACAGAGGGGGTGATAAGAAGGGTAGTTCCTAAAGAAATCACTGAAAAGTAAAGGGATACATGAGAGAAATTAAATTTGAATGAAAATGGGAAAAAAAAGCTATGAAGATAGATTTCTGTTCCCAGGAAGGACAGCAATTGGGGCACTACTTTACTTATTTATCTTACATCACTAAAATTGCTATGTTTATTTGTATGAATAAAGTTTTTATACTCATTTGTATGATTGTTTTCATGGTGTATGTATGTGTATTACCCTTAAGTAACAGTGTTCATGAAACTGAATGTTGCCCTTTGAGGAAGCTCAAAGTCTCACAGCTATAACACAAGAATGGGATGAATATTATGATTAAGCTTTTCTCCCTGTTTTTCCAAGTTAGAGAAACTTCCTATTGTTTTCTGCCTTCAGATAGACAAGAAATCGGATGTGAAATGCTAATCCCGTCTTCTGTTAGAATCATGTGATATCTTTACAATAATTCTTATGTCTAATAATTAAGAAAATTTTCTTTCTAAAAGAACTGTAATTTAATGAAATGCAACCTTCCAAAGTTCTTCTAATAACTTGGAACATAATCTAATAGTAGTTAATTAGGAAATAAATTAAACTGTCTTTGCAGTTATATTTTAGTTAACCCTAGTATGCTGACATCAATTTCTAATAGCAGAAACGCATATCGTTGCCTTCTCTCCTGAAAAAATTTATAGCTGTAATTTGTCATCTTCAGTATTAGAATGAACTGTTGCAGGTCTTTGCCAACTGATTTATCAGCTGATGATATTTAAAATGAAGGCAGTAATGTTGAAGGAGACAGGCTAGAAATGAAAAAAAAAAAAGGAAATAAAAGGGGGAATGTATAGAATTCAAGAGGTTAGGCTTTGCTTTCAACTGATTTAGAAATTACGTTTTTGTTTAAACAAGGAGCTTTAAACCTGGATTCAGCTAAACCATGGCTATATTTGTCTTTCTGTGGCATGGGTCACAGTGAAGACTCATAAAATGACTCTATGGCACCTGTAAAAACAGAAGGATATCCAAACAATGGTGCTCTGTCTGGTCCTGCTCATGCATAGTCGCGTGCATGGGCTCTGCTCTCTCCTGGGGTTGGTGCCACGGCCCCGGCCTTTCACCACATTGTCACGGAGGGCCGGCAATGGTGCCCAACTTCACTTTCTACTTCTCGCCTTTAGGACGCTGACTTTTATCTTTGGCAACGTGTACATATTGCAGAATGATGAAAAGGGGTGTCACGTAGGGACTTTAAGGAGTCCCTCCCATGTTTCGGTCTTGATTTGCGTGTGTGTACACGAGTGTGTATTCTTACAGGTGTCTGAAGAAGGCAGAGGTGATTTAAAAAGCAATCACAGCCCAGCCGGGCGTGGCTCAGCGGTTGAGCCCNTTCCAAAGTTCTTCTAATAACTTGGAACATAATCTAATAGTAGTTAATTAGGAAATAAATTAAACTGTCTTTGCAGTTATATTTTAGTTAACCCTAGTATGCTGACATCAATTTCTAATAGCAGAAACGCATATCGTTGCCTTCTCTCCTGAAAAAATTTATAGCTGTAATTTGTCATCTTCAGTATTAGAATGAACTGTTGCAGGTCTTTGCCAACTGATTTATCAGCTGATGATATTTAAAATGAAGGCAGTAATGTTGAAGGAGACAGGCTAGAAATGAAAAAAAAAAAAGGAAATAAAAGGGGGAATGTATAGAATTCAAGAGGTTAGGCTTTGCTTTCAACTGATTTAGAAATTACGTTTTTGTTTAAACAAGGAGCTTTAAACCTGGATTCAGCTAAACCATGGCTATATTTGTCTTTCTGTGGCATGGGTCACAGTGAAGACTCATAAAATGACTCTATGGCACCTGTAAAAACAGAAGGATATCCAAACAATGGTGCTCTGTCTGGTCCTGCTCATGCATAGTCGCGTGCATGGGCTCTGCTCTCTCCTGGGGTTGGTGCCACGGCCCCGGCCTTTCACCACATTGTCACGGAGGGCCGGCAATGGTGCCCAACTTCACTTTCTACTTCTCGCCTTTAGGACGCTGACTTTTATCTTTGGCAACGTGTACATATTGCAGAATGATGAAAAGGGGTGTCACGTAGGGACTTTAAGGAGTCCCTCCCATGTTTCGGTCTTGATTTGCGTGTGTGTACACGAGTGTGTATTCTTACAGGTGTCTGAAGAAGGCAGAGGTGATTTAAAAAGCAATCACAGCCCAGCCGGGCGTGGCTCAGCGGTTGAGCCCCGGCCTAGGATCCAGGCGATCGGGGTTCGATTCCCGGTCAGGGCACATGCCCGGGTTGCGGGCTCCATCCCCAGTCGGGGGCGTGCAGGAGGCAGCCGATCAATGACTCTCTCATCATTGATGTTTCTATATCTCTCTCTCCTTCTCCTTTCCTCTCTCTGAGATCAATAAAGATATATTAAAAAAAAAAAAAAAAAGCAGTCACAAAGGGAAGACACGAGAAACAGATGGTGTGGGGGTGAAACTACTCATCCTGCATCGCCTTCACTATTCGGGCCCCACGTGCGCCTCCTGCGCAGAGGAGGGGACTGATTCCGTCCACCGTCCCCATCGGCAGGTTGTGTGGGAAGGAGAGGTGACAATGAGGACATGGGCGTCTGGGCTCCCGGGGGATAAGTGGAAGAAAGACATCATACCAGGTCCTCTCGAAGCACATGCCTTGCAGAACTGTCCAACGACAGGGGGGTCTTCAGGCTTCTGATAGGCTCACATAATGAAAAATTAGGTGGTCTATAAACCTGAAGCCTTTTGAACCATTGTTAAAGACATGGAAAGTGTTCAAATGTAATGTCAGTTAAAAAAAATTCAACATAAAATAGAATGTACAATGTGATCCACCATCCTAAGGAAATTCATGTGTTCCTATATCACCTATATAATAATCATTTTCATAAAGTCTATATATATGTATGTGTGTGGGTCTGTGAGTACATATGTGTGTGCATATATATCATACATATGTGTGCACAGATATATTGGAAAAAGACCAAAAATAATTGTTAGCTCCTGGTGTTTACACTATTGGTGTTTTTTGCTTGCTTTCTTTTGTTTCTCTGTTTTCCAATTTTTCTATAATGTGCACTCACAGGAATTAGAACACTCAAGTCTGAGAAAGTGTAAGACAGAGACACTTAGAAATATAATATAAAATATAAGTGAGCCCATCACCTCAGATTTCATGTGTTGCTCAAAGATTATTGAGTCTTTGTCTTGAAATCATCGCAGAAGCCACTTTAGAACAATATCCCCGACTTTAAAAACCAAGCCAGGTGCAGGCCCATGCTCCTCAGCTGTGGAATTTACAGGCAGTGATAAATCTCTCCAAGAAAAAGCCCAATGTAACTAACTCTACGGATGTATAACTTGCGGGGTTCTTTTTATAATGGAAATGAACCATAAGGAGGCCCGTTCCTGGTTTCGACTGTCCCTCTCGGTGGCTCTCTCAGGACGCCCCTCCTCTCCTCTGGGCTGCGGAGTCTCATGTCTGCCTTCCTGACAGCTGGATGTTCTCTAGGTGTGTCAAGCTCAGAGTCCGGACAACTCATTCCCTACCCCT